GCACTGCTGTGTGGGGCCTGGGGTGGGACAGGGGTCCTGGAGAGCTGTAGCACTGAGCAGGGGCTGTCTGTGCAGCCTGAGGGTGGCACAGCGCCCTTGTTTCCCTGCCAGCTCTCTTCATCTCCTGCCTGTTGGCTGTCCTGCAGGGCCATTGGATTGCCTTCCGGCATCATCCTCTTCCTCCTGGCCAAATGGCAAGTGGACAAAAACCGTCTGGAGCAGCTCAAAATCCGCCGAAAGATGATGGAAGCCAACCAGGGTGAATACGAGACGGAGCGATACAAAAGTGTGGCCAGGGGGACATAGCCAGACTGCACCCCCAGCCCAGCCTGGCACTGCAGCACCTTGAAGGGACTGGCCAAGGGCACACCAGCCCCACAGGACTCGTGACACTGGTCCCTGCCCTGCCTATCCAGCCCACAGGGTGGTTGTGGGGCTGGACAGGGACAAATAAACCAGAACAGCTTGGTCCCTCTGTGGTTGCTCCCTCAATGCTCAGCCCCAGGCCCTGCCTGCCTCCACAGCAGGGTGCCCGTGGTTCTGCAGCCAGGGTCCTGCCCACAGTGGTGAGGGAACAGGCAGGGGAGGGAGGCCAGGCCTGGAGCATTTGACCTTCGTTTTCCCTTCCCAAAGCAGTGTTTGTGCTGCATCAGGCCCCAGCCCCCACTGAGGCTGCCCACAGGTTTTTCGGGGGAGTCGCCACACCAATAAGATGGAGACTGTCTGGAAAACAAGTGTTTTATTTAGCAAGTGCAACTTTGCCCACATCTGTAGCTGCAGGGCCTCTGCAATGTGAGCTCTGACACGAATCCCACCATGGGGGGTCCCAGCTGCCTCTTGCCCTCACTGGGCCCAGCTGCAGCTCAGAGAGAGGGGCACAGCCAGAGCTGCATTTAAGGCACCAAGTGAATGACACCAGCTGGACTCTGTCAAAGGAATCCAAACACGATCCTGGCAACTGCTGCCAGCTCCCTGTGCCCAGGCAGGGCTGTGACATTCCACTGCCAGAGCAGTGTCACCAGCACAGCCTTGGAAAGTGGTGTCGAGGCCAGGCACTGCCTAAATGCTGGCAGCCAGTCCCCACCCCCACCCTTGGAGGCTTCTTGGGGATTGATCAGCCTACAGGTAGCAATGCCAAAGCATTAGGCATCACGGTAAGCAAACTATCCTGTACAGAGACCAGAGGAGGAGGTGAGGGGTGGCAGAGGAGGACAGAAGGGGTCCCAGGGCTAATCCCGGCCCACTATCTGTAACATGAAGGTGAAGATGTAGATGATGTCGGTGTAGATGGTGAGGGCACCATAGATGTACTCCTCAGGACTCAAGGTGTTCTTCCTGTTCCCCAGCACAAGTTGGGTGTCATAGGCAAGGAACTGGGGAGACAGAGTGTGTCAGGCATGGACTAAGGGGGGATTCCTCCCTCCCCAGTCCCTGCCTGACACCCTCTGCCCACCCCAGTTGTCAACTCACCAGGGTGAAGGCAATGGCCCCAATGGCCGCGTACACCATGTGGAGCCAGGGGACCTGTGTGGGAAGGGGACACAAGCAGGGTGAACCAGGGTGCTGGCAGGCAGCAGGCACAGTAGGGCAGGTCCTGCCCGCACCTAGCTCCTGAGGAGCTGTTGCTGATGCCGACACACCCTTTCCCTGCAGGCAATCTGTCTTCTGTAGCCAGCACCACACCCTGCTTTCCAGCAAAGGGGGACCACCCAAACCCCCCACCTGTACCAGCCCTGAGGACACTCAGCCACGAACAGCCATGGCACCACACAGCCCCTCTGTCTCCCCCACTCACATAGCTGATGGAGAGGACGATGGCTGTGATGATCCCAGTCACCATGACCACGATGCCGAGCACACAGAAGAGCCCTGGACACGATGTAAAATCAACCTGATGGGGACACACACATGTCACAGGAGAGCCCAGGCTATCCCCACTGACCAGCTCCCCCCAGCCGACCCCCACCAGGGCAGGGGTGTGTCCCTCTCCTTGCCTTGGTCTGGAAGCAGAAGATGGTGACAATGATGGCCACGATGGCAGTGATGAGCATGGCCATCAAGACAGCCTTGGTGCTGTACATGCTGTGAACAGAGGGGACACCACAGTCAGCCCATGCTTCAGCATACCCCTGCTAGGGGGGTGTTGGTGACTCCCCACAACTCCAATCCTGGACAGGGACTCCACTGTCCCTGCACCCAGGGCACTGGAGTGTCCCTTAGCTACTCCCGTTTGAGGCAGCCACATGGCAGGGAACAGGACAGACTCCAGCTCCTGTCACCACAGGGTCCCCAGGGCATACCTGGCAATCGATCCTGTCATCAGCCCCATGGCCAGCGTCTACAGGAGAGGAGAAGGGTGGGCTCAGCAGCACCGTGGGGGGCAGCAGTTCCCCACCTGCCCATGCATCCCCCTATCCCTCCCTGCCCACCCAGGGAGCTGGGGTGCCACAGAGGCACCACCAGGTCCCCCACTAGCCCCAGCCCACTCACGAAGATGGTCAGCAGGATCATATTCCAGGGGAAGCGTCTCCTGAGGACAAAAGAGGGAGACAGCAGTGAGCTGGTAACAGTGGCCATGTCCTATCTCCCTAGTCCCCTCTCACCAGGGGCAGCCTCAGGCAAGGATGCCCCTCTTGATGACCTAGACACACCCTCCCCCATATCCACACACCCCATGTTGGGGGTCCCAGCAACTCACCGGGGGCCCTGGCAGCAGGCCAGCACCAGGTAGGTCACCAGGAACACAGCACTGCAAAGAGAGAGAGTGTCAGCCCTGCAACCCCCCACCAGGACCGCCACCCAGGCTGGGAGGCTGTGAGCGTGGTGGGGCGGTGTGAGCCGGCAGACTCCCTACTCACTACGAGGCGTAGTAGAAGGCGACATTTCTCTGGACGAAGGTGCGGACAGGGTGGCTGTGGGACAGGAGGGACAAGCATAAGGGAGGGGGGACAGCAACTACTGTCCCCTTGGAACACCCCCCAGGGGACACAGGGTCAGGGTCCCCCCTTTTCCAGGACAAGCCTAAGGAGGGATCCTCTACTCACACAAAAGTGAACACAGAGATGATTCCCACTGTCACCAGCAGCTGCAGGGAGATGATGGCATAGACCTGCGAGAGACAGGGAGTTCGGCACCTGGCCCCCCACCCCGATATGCTGAGTGCCCCTGGCCCCTAGGGACTCACCTTGCGGATGTAGGCATGTCGGACTTTCCTGTCATCCCAATCCACTGATTGGAAGGGGGAGTCGTCTCCGATGCCATCGTCACCTGTGGTGGTAGATACCCCTCAGCACCAGGGTCAGCTGCACCAGCCCCTCATAGCACCCCTATTTCTAGTACCCTCCCCCCAAAAAAACAAAGTGTCCCCACTTACCAAACCGAACAGGCATGGTGGGCATGGCCATCCCTGGTTGAGGGTACCCCCCTGCTGCTGGGTATCCCCCTGGCTGTCTGTACCCCATTGTTGTAGGGTATCCCCCAGGCTGCGGGTACGCCCCAGCATAGTGGGGAGGCTGGGGATAGCTCCCTGGTGGAGGAGGGTAGAGGGGGTTCCTGTCATCGTAGCCAGAGGGTGCGCTGGGCTGCGACATGCTGGTTCCCTGTGTCTCCCCCAGGCACCTGGAGGGGAGAGAAGGTGGAGGGGTGTCAGCACAGGTCCCCCTCCCTGGGCAAGACACGTTCCTGGCGAGTGGAGCCACAGGTGCACGGACACAGGGGACTGTGTAGCCACAAAACATCCCCCTCCCACTTTAATAGTGGTCTCTAATTAATAAGGACAAGTTGGCCTCGATGCCAGTGAGTCAATGAGAGGTGAGGGATGTCCCCACTGTCCCTTGGCCTGGGCCACCTGCATTCCTGTACCCTGACATCTCCACTGTCCCTTGGCTGGGGCCACCCACATTCCTGTGCCCTGAGTCTCTGGCACCTGCGTCAGTGGCCAGCCACAGGCAGGGCACAGCCACGCACTGACTCAACCCATGTCGGGGACATGACCTTTCCAAAAGGAAAGGGGTGGTGCCCCCCCCAGCCTCTGGAGCCCACCCGGCCATTGCTAGGGGACAGGGAGCAGCCACCCCACACACCCTCACTGGTCTATGGCTCCTGGTAGCATCACCCTGGGGACAAATGGCACCACTCTGCCCACCACCTGAGATAGAAACACAGGGCCTGATCCTCATCACAGCCATGCAGACCCCTCTGGCCCCCCATTTTGGGGCTGTCCCCCACCCAACAGCCAGTGGGTCACACTGGGGCCCCAGAACTCCTGAGTCTCCTCAGGGATTTGTAAGGACAAATGACACCCATGTCACCTCTGCAGGAGCTGGACCCTTCCTTGTGGAGGGGAGCTGGGATCCCACCAGGGCTGAGCTCCCTTCCCCAGCCACACAGGGCCCCCTCACAGAGCCCCCAGCATCCGTGAGCAGGCAGCCTGGGCTCAGGGCCAGCTGCTGGGCTTGGCCCCAGCAGGAGGAGGAGAAGGAAAGCAGGATCTTCCAAAGCCAGCAAAACAACAGTGCTGCCAGGAGATGGTGCCAGGCCTTTTCCCACCTGCCACCCCCCCACACTGCTGGCACCTTGGGCCCCAGGCAGCTGCCAGGACCTCCCCATACTCCTCCTGCCTGCAGCAGTGTTGCGATCCCAGGACCATCACAGGGAAGGAACCAGGGTCTGATCCCAGCCAGGACAAAGCTAGGAGGGGATCAGACACTTCCTCCTCCATGACGCCAGTGCTTCCCACAGCCAGGCTGGGTGGGCAGCAGGCCAGGGGGAGGCACACCCCTGCCAGCCATGCCAACCTGGGGGGAGCAACTCAGTGCCTTTCCCTCCCTCCCTCCTGCTGTCCATCTGTCCCAGCTCAGCAGAGCTGCCATGGCCGCGCTGTGCTTCACTGTCACAATGACGGCAGTGCCGAAAATAAATACCCAGCATGGTGGTGACCACCCAGGCGGGAAGTTCACTTCACACTGTGGTTTCCCAAAAAGCACACAGTGCCCCTGGCACTGCCTTAACTGTGGGGCCTGGGAAGTGCCAAAAATAGAAGCTCGATCCCAGGAAAGTCCCTGTAAAAGCCTAACTGTGGCACCCAGTTACGGGGACTGGAGACCCCAGGAGGGAATCCAGGCGTCTGGGAAAAGCAGGGTGTATCCAGCCAGCACATGGTCATTGGAGGGGTCTTACCCTGTGCTCATAGACGGCATCCTGTGGTGGAGGTCTGCCAACTGCCCCTACCCCTCCTGTTCCCACCCCATTGGGGTGGCCTTAGGGAGAGCACATGAACCAGCCTGACGAGTCCCTGCAGCCACCGCACTCAGGGAAGCAGGCAGCACTCTTGAACCCTCTTTGGTCCACAGCATAGCAGAGCACCGAAACCAGAGGACACCAGCTAGAGCACAACCTGGGACAGCTCATTGGCCCTAGTGTGACACACATCCCTGGGGACAGGGTGCTGCTCTTCGGTAGCACCGTGACTCAGCACAGATAAGACACAGGTGGTGGAAATGTGGGGAGCAGGCAACTGACATCCCTGTCACACCCCCGTGTGTGGTATCAGATAGTGCCCCCACCCTAGCACTCCTGCTGGGCTCAGGCCCCTGCCACCAACTCCACAGGGACTGTGGGGCAACAAGAACCACCTTGGGAGGGGATTAAGGTTTGGGGTGGGGGCCAGGGCTCCCCACAACGAGGCTGCCTGAGAAAGCACCTGACCCTAAGAGTGTCCTAAGCTCCCACCGGTATGGCATGGATTCATACAGCACAACCTCACACGGCACGGCACAGCCTGGCACAGCACAACGCGGCTTGGTACAGCACAACACAGCACAGCTGCTCCGTGAGGCACAGCACAGCTCAGCGCGGCATGGCTCCGCACGGCACAACCCAACATAGCACAGCACAACTTTTCCGGGCCCAGCCCTTTCAAGTGGGTCAGTAGGGCCCACCCAGTCTGGATGCCCCTGCTGCCCCACGCCACTCACTCAGAACACAAATTTGCCAGAGCTCAGCATCACCACTCTCCCATCTCTGCCCCCCC